TTTTTTTGAGTTGGAGTCTCACTCTGTCACCCAGGCTGGAGTGCAGTGGCATGCTCACTGCCACCCCAGCATCAACCTACTGGGCTCTGGTGATCCTTCCACCTCAGCCTTCCAAGCAGCCGGAACTACAGACGCACACTACCATGCCCAGCTAATTTTCTAGTTATTGTAGAGACGAGGTCTCTCCAAGTTGCCCAGGTTGATCTCAAACCCATGGACTCAGGCAATCCACTCCACTCGGCCTCCCAAATTGCTGGGAACAGGCAGAGCCACTGAGCCTGGCCTCTTTTTTTGTGACTATTGTGAATGGAATTGTGCTTTTTATTTGGTTCTCAGCCTGCTTGTTGTTGGTGTATAGAAATACAACTCTCTTTTTTGCACTGATTTTGTATCCCAAGACTTTACCAAAGTTGTTTATTAGTTTGAGAAGGCTTTTGGCAGACTCTCTAGGGTTTTCTAAGTATAGAATCATATCATCTGCAAAGAGGAATAACTTAACTTCCTCTTTTCCTGTTTGAATGTCCGTGATTTCCTTCTCCTGCCTGATTGCTCTAAGACTTTCAGTACTATGCTGAATAGAAGGGGTGAGAGTAAGCAAACTTGTCTTGTTCCAGTTCTTAGGGGGAATGCTTCCAGCTTCTGCCCATTAAGTATGATATTGGCTGAAGATTTGCCATAGATGGCTCTTATTATTTTGAGGGATATTCCTTTGATAACCAAGTATTTGAGGGTTTTTTATCAAGAAGGAATGCTGAATTTTGTTGAATGCTTTTTCTGAGTCTAATGAAATAATCATGTGGTTCTTGATTTTAACCTATTAATGTGCTGAATTATGTTCATAGACTTATGTCTGTTGAAAAAGCCCTGCATCCCAGGAATGAATACTATCATGATGAATGATCCTTGCAATGTGTTGCTGGATATGATTTGCTAGAATTTTTTTTTTTTTTTAGTTAGATCACTGTCACTCAGGCTGGAGTGCAGTGGCATGCTCACAACCACCACAGCCTCGACTTTCTGGGCTCAGGTTATCCTTCCACCTCAGTCTTCCAAGCAGCTGGAACTAACTACAGGTGTGCACCATCATGCCCAGTTAATTTCTTGACTAATTGTACAGACAAGATCTCACCAAGTTGCCCAGGCTGGTCTTGGACTCCTAGATTCAGGCAATCCTCTTGCCTCCACCTCCCAAAGTGTTGGGATTACAGGCCTGAGTTACTCCCAACCAATTTGCTAGAATCTTGTTGAGAATCTTTGCATCTGTGTTCATCAGATAAATTGGCCTATAATTCTCTTTCCTTGTTGGGTCTTTGCCAATTTGGGGTATCAGGATGATATTAGTTTCATAGAATGAGCTAGGGAGAATTCCTTCCTTCTCAATTGCCTGGCATACTTACAATAGGATTGGTATCAGATCTTCCTTGTATGTCTTGTAGAATTCAACTGAAAAACCATCTGGTCCAAGGTTTGTTTTTTTTTTTGGTGGGAAGTTTCTAACAACTGAGTCAATTTCTTGGATTATCAATGGTCTGTTTAGGGTTTCAATTTCTTCCTGTTTCAAGCTTGGAAGTTTATGTGATACCAGGAATTCCTCTATTTCCTCTAGATTTTCTAGATTAGTAATACCTGATAATCTTTTGAATTTCTTCAGGGTCTGTTTGCCTTTTTTGTTTCTAGTTGTGCTTATTTGGACTTTCTTTTTTAAGTTAATCTGTTTGGGGGTGTGCCAATCTTATCCTTTCAAATAACCAGCTTTTTGTCTTGTTGATCCTTTCTATAATATTTTTGGCTTCTATTTCCTGCAATTGTAACTTTACCTTAGTAATCTGGATATTTCTACTGAATTTAGGATTTAATTGTTCCTGCCTTTCCAGTTCCTTTAGATGTGACATTGAGAACCCTCTATTTTCTTGATATATGCATGTGGTGTTATAAATTTCCCTCTCAGTATTATCTTCATGGTAACCCAGAAGTTTTGATATGTTGTGTCTTTGTTTTCATTTCATTTCCAGGAATCTTTTTATTTCTGTCTTGATTTCTATGTTGAGCCACAAGTCATTCAGAAGCATGCTGTTTAATTTTCATGTATTTGTGTGTTTTGGGGGCATTCCTGTTGGTGGTGATATTTTTATTCTACTGTGTTCTGATAAATTACTTGGTATTATTTCAACCATTTAAGGTTTATTCATGCTTGATTTAAGCCCAAGAATGTGATCTATTTTGGAGTATGTTCCATGTGTTTATGAGTAGAATGTATACTTTGTGGTTGTAGGGTGAAGTGTTCTGTAGATGTCTATAAGGTTCAGTTGGTGGAGTGTCAAAGCAAGGTTCTGAACCTCTTTGTTAGTTTTTGCCTTGATGATCTGTCAAGAGCTTTTAGCAGGGCAGGTGTCTACGTCCTCTCTTAGTTTACTTAGCAATCATTTCATAAATCTGAGTGTTCCAGTGTTGAATACATATATACTTATTTATTTATTTTGAATCAGTCTCAGTTCGTCACCCAGGCTGGAGTGCAGTGGCATACTCACAGCCACCCCAGCATCAACCTGCTGGGGCTCTGGTGATTCTTTCACCTCAGCCTTACAAGTAGCTGGAACTACAGGTGTGTGCCACCACGCCTGGCTAATTTTTAAAAATTTATTGTAGAGACGAGTCTCACCAAGTTGCCCGGGCTGGTCTTAAGCCTCTGGGCTCAAGCAATCCTCTTGCCTCCAGCTTCCAAAATGATTGGATTACAGGACTGAGCCATCGAGCCTGGTGGACATTACAATCTTTTTTTTTTTTGAGTTGGAGTCTCACTCTGTCACCCAGACTGAAGTGCGGTGGCACGCTCCCAGCCACTGCAGCCTCGAGCTGCTAGGCTCCAGCGATCCTTCCACCTCAGCCTTCCAAGTAGCTGGAACTACAGGTGTGTGCTACCACACCTGGCTAATTTTTGATTTATTGTAGAGATGAGGTCTCACCAAGTTGCCTGTGTGGGTCTCAAGTTGCCCGTGTGAGTCTCTGGCAATCCACTGGCCTCGGCCTCCCAAAGTGCTGGGATTACAGGCTGAGTCACCGAGCCCGGCCTGGTATTGCAATCTTAAGATTTAATCTTATATCCTCTGACCCATAAATATCTGATAACTTTGCATCCCTTTAGATTTTCTTAATTTATTTCACCAAGGTTTTATAGTTTTCACAGCATAAGATCTACAATTCATTTTTGAAATTTATTGTATGAATTTTTTTTTTTTGAGTCAGGGTCTCACTCTGTTGTCAGACTGGAGTGTAGTAGTACAATCACAGCTCACCATAGCCTCAGACTTGTGGGTTCAAGCAATCCTCCCTCCTCAGCCTCCAGAATAGCTGGGACTGCAGACATGTGCCACCATGTCTGGCTTGTTTTTATTTTTCATAGAGACAAGATCTCACTATGTTGCCTAGGCTGGTCCCAAACTCCTGGGCTCAAATGATCCTCCCACCTTGGCCTCCCAAAGTACTGGGATTACAGGCATGAGCCACTGTTATATTCTGTGCATTAAATATAATTTATTAAATTATATTAAATTTATTCCTACGCATTTCAAATTTATTACTATGCATTTTATCCTTTTTGAGTTTACTACAAATGGACTTGTTTTCTCTATTTTATTTTTGGGTCCTACTACACTAGTATATAGAAATAAAAAATTAATTTTTGTATATTGATCTTATATCTTGCAACCTTGCTGAGCTTGTTTATGTGTTGTACTCGTTTCCTCTCCCCTTAGGACTTTTAACATACACCGTTATGTTATCTGTAAATACTGGTACTTTTACTTCTTCCTTTCTAATCTGGATGCCTTTTATTTCTTTTGGTTGTCTAATTGTTCTGGCTGAAATCTCCAGTGCAGTGTTGTTGTTTGTTTGTTTTTTTGGTAACTATTTTTTTTTATAACCAATATTTTTTATTATGATATTGTGGGGTAGAGTTAAGGGTTAGGTATACAAATACATTTCGTTCAGGCACCCTTGTTGATAAGAAGTGTTTCCCTGACCCCAGACAGCAGTGCAGTGTTGAATAGAAGTGGTGAAAGAAGATATCCTTGTCTTATCCTGATGTTAGGATGAAAAGAGTTCTGTTTAATGTTAGCTGTGGGTTTTTCTTAGATAAGCTCAGGAATTTACCCTTTATTCCTAGTTTGTTGAGGATTTTTTTAATCATAAAAGAGTTTTGACTTATTTTAAAATTATAATTAATTAATTTTACACTCAACAAACTAGGAACTCTTTTATGATTAATTAATTAGTTAATTAATTTTACACTCTACAGAGTTTATTGGACTTATAACTGGACAAAGTCACACGTGTATAAAATGAAGCTCACACTCTCCCAAAGCAGAGTAGGGATTGAGAGTTGGGATCTGTTACTGGCCACTGGGGGACCTCCAAAGTGGGGGGCAGCCAACCCTCCCACTCCTGAGGTGTGGCCACACAGGTGGGAAGAAAAGGGGGCCCACCTGGTTTTGGTCACAGAACTCAGAGCCTGGCATCAGGCCAGGGCAGATGGATCGATGGAAGAGCAGGTGCCCAAAACTACCCTGCCTGGGGAGCCCCGGGACGACTCCACCGGTCCTGCTTGCAATGTGGTTGGTCCAGACCTAGACTCAGGGATTGATGCAAAGGGAAGGCAGCAAAGCAGGAAAGAGAAGGAGAGACTGATGTGTGGTAGCCAGTGGGGGCAGACGCAACCTCGGACCTGTGGAAGAGGGCGGGTGGGGAGGTGGGCTAGCTGTCACCAGGCAGCTGGCCGCGGGTTTGGTAAATGCCGCTGTGGCCCATGTGGCGCACTCATTTGATGACCTTGTGGTCGCTGTAGTCCAGCTTCAGTTCAAACACCTTCAAGTAGCGCACCTTGAGGCCAGAGGGCGAGAACGGCACCTCAAAGTTAATGGAAATGGGGGGTCGAGCCCATTTCTTCTTGTCGTTGGCGGGCAGAAGCTCAATCTCTGCACTGATCTGTGATTCCTTCATGCCTGCCATGCGCTTGATCTTCCACACAATGGCCTTCCCGCTAGCCTTGTACTTGGCCTTCCCCTTCATGCAGATCACTCGCATGCCACTTGTGTTTGGTAGGTTTGGGATCCTCGCCTCAATCTTCAGAGCCAGGAGTGAGGGCTTGAAGTTGGACTTGATGACCACCTTGACCTCCAGTGTTGTGCGTCCCACCTCCTGCACGAGTGGGATTACTCGGAAAGGAAGGATGATGTCCTTGGTGGTAGATACCTCATGAGCTCAAACTCTCCATCTGGTGGGATGAAGCTGATGCTGCATTCAGAGTCAAACTTGCTGAGTTGCACACACTGGTGGAAGGTGCAGTCATCAATGGCAATTGATGGCTTCCTACTCTTGCTTGTTTCATCAGCTGTGCCTTTTGTCCTGCTTTTCAATGACAATCTTCTCATTCATTCCAAACTTGCATTTGGGCATGCCACTCAGGTAGCTCTTCATCACCACCCAGCCTGACACATGGGCACTCAGCACCTCCCCCTGTGGGGATACGAGCAGGTTCACACTCTCCAGCACATCCAGGAAGATACGTGACGCCCTCCCGGTGCCAACCCATCTGCCCAGTCACCTGGCTGGTGATCTGGAATTGCTCTTCTGTTGTTTGATGCTGACTCTTGATACCTGCTGGGCGATGAAGGTTTTCAGCGCACCTCTCTCGGAGTTTTGTGGGTAACCAAAGTCCAGGATCTCACCCAGCAGCAGCTCATATATGAGCACAAAATTGTTTTTGGTGTCCTTGCTGATTTTTTCAGAGGAGGCAGCCATTACGTCACACATCTTATAGAGGAGTTCAAAGACCATGGCAGCACTGACATTCTGCTTGGTGACCGCTGCCAGTCAGATGTTGGACCTCTTAATATGGAAGAAGCTGGTGCAAGCAATGTTGGTGACAGGGCTACCCATCAGCTGCCGGGCATGGATAACATTGACCTGAAAGGTGTCCACTGCATTCCTCCCGATGTCATCTTGGTAGACGTGTGATTATAGATGAATAATTGTTCTGAGAAGAGACCTGATGTCCACAGCCTCCTGCTTGGCTGGCCCGGCCACCTTCCGGATCCCAAGATGTCCGCCAGCTCCTTGCTCACCTCGAGTTTTGACTTTTAATATGCTTTTTCTTTATTGATAAAACCATGTCTTTAAAAATTGTATTAATATGTTGTATTACATTGACTTTCATGTATTGAACCAACTATGTATTCTGGGAATAAGTCCTATTTGGTCATGGTGTATCATTCAGCTTTTATGCTGCTTAATATGATTTTGTTTACTAGTATTTTGTAGAGGAACTTTGTGCCTATATCCATAAATGCTATTGGTCTGTAATTTTCTGGTGATGCTGCAGTCTGGTTTTAGTATCAGACTGATGCTGCAGTCTGGTTTTGTAGTACAGGCCTCAAAGAGTGAGTCAGAAAATGTTTCCTCCTGTTCTAATTCTTGGAAGCGCTGTAAAGATTGGTGTTAATTCTTTGTCAAATTCACCAGTGTAGCTATCTAGTTCTGGACTTTTTCTTTTTCGGGGGAAGTTTTAAATTACGAATTCAATCTCTTTACTAGCTGTAGCTTTTTTTTTTTGTTTTTTTGAGTTAGAGTCTCACTCTGTCGCCCAGACTGGAGTGCAGTGGCCACTCCTGGCCACCGCAGCCTCGACCTGCTGGGCTCCGGGGATCCTTCTGCCTCAGCCTTCCAAGTAGCGGGAATTACAGGGGTGCGCTACCACGCCCGGCTAATTTTTCGACTTATTGTAGAGATGAGGTCTCACCAAGTTTCCCAGGTGGGTCTCGAACCCGTGGGCTCAGGCAAGCCACTCACCTCAGCCTCCCAAGGCGTGGGATTACAGGCTGAGCCACCGAGCCTGGCTTACTTGCTGTAGCTTTGATAAAATTTTCTATTTTTTTTTCAGTCAGTTTCAGTAGTTGGTCTGGTATATATTTCCTTGTAAGCATTAGTTGCAGTCCTTAAGTTTTGATATATTGCATTTTTGTATCTTCATATGTCTCAAAGTATTTTCAAATGTCCCTTTTTTTCTTTGATCCATTGATTATTTAGGGGTGTATTAATTTCTACATATTTGTGAGTTTCCTAGGTTTCCTTGTTATTCATTATGTAATTTCATTCTGTTGTGTTCAGAGAACATACCTTGTATGATTTCAATAATTTTGAATTTATTGAGGTTTGTTTTATGGTCTAGCATATGATCTTAGGATGCTCCATGCGCTCTTGAAAAGAAAGTGAATTCTGCTGTTGTTGAATGGAATGTTCTATAAATGTTAGGTGTACAGTGTTATTCAAGTGTTCTGTTTCTTTGTTCATTTTCTGCCTCATTTTTCTACCATTTCTCAAAGTTGGGGCAATATCTCCAACTATTATTGCTGAATGACTTATTTCTCCTTTAAGTTTTTGTCCATTTTTACTACAGAATTCTGACAGCAAAATACAGAATTGTCAGGTATTTATTTATTTATTTATTTTTGAGTTGGAGTCTCACTCTGTCACCCAGGCTGGAGTGCAGTGGCCACCACAGCCTCGACCTGCTGGGCTCCGGTGATCCTTCCGCCTCAGCCTTCCAAGTAGCTGGAACTACAGGCGCACACTACCATGCCTGGCTAATTTTTCTTGATTTATTGTAGAGATGAGGTCTCGCCAAGTTGCCTCGGCGGGTCTCGAACCCGTGGGCTCAGGCAATCCACTCACCTCAGCCTCCCAAAGCGCAGGATTACAGGCTGAGCCACTGAGCCCAGCTTGGATCTTGTTTTTATAAACCCAGTTTGACAATATTTGCCTTATGATTGTGTAATCCATTTGCATTTAATGTTACTATTGGCAAGGTTGTATTTATATGTCATTTCACCTTTAGCCTTCCACGTGTATTTTAAATTTCTTTTAGAGATGGGTTTCAATCTTGCCCAGGATGGAGTGCAGTGGTGTGATCATAGTGCACTGTAGCTCAAGTGATCATCCTGCCTCAGCCTCCCAAAGTGTTAGGATGACAGGCATGAATCTTCCTGCTCAGCAAATGGGGCTCTCTTATACACAATGAGTGGTCTTTTTCCTCTCACTGCTTTAAAGATCTTGTCTATCATTTTTATTGTATCTGGGTATGAATCTATTATCTTACAACTTGGTCATCTTGGATTAACGTTTTCATTAAATATGGGGTTTTCAGGCATTATTTCTTCTAATAATTTTTTTCTTTTTTCCCTTCTGGCACTATTACATATATGTTGATGTTCCATATTTATCTGAGGCTGCTTAGTTATTTCATTTTTTCCCTCCTGTTCTTGGCATTTCATTATCTATGTTGATTAATCTTGACTTTTGCTGATTCTTTCTACTGTGAGTTCAAATCTATTGTTGAGTTCCTCTAATAATTTTTTTCAATGATTGTTTGTTCTTTTGAAATCCAGAATTTCCATTTGGCTATTTTTTTTTTTTTGAGACAGGGTCTTACTCCATCAGCCAGGTTGGAGCACAGTGGCACAATCATAGCTCACTGCAGCTTCAAACTCCTGGTCTCAAGTGACCCTCCCACCAAGGCTTCCTAAGTAGCTAGGAATATAGGTGTGCATCACTACCACCTGACCATGTTTACAATTTTTCTGTAGAGCCAGGGTCTCACTATGTTACCCAGGCTGAATTGAATTTTGCTCTTTTAAAGTAATTCCTTTAATGAAATAATGTCAGCAAACCTTCCTTTAGTTTTTTTAGAATATGTTTGTAATAGCACTTTGAAGTTTTTGTCTGTTTCCAAACTATTGGTCCTCTCAGTTTCTTTTCATTGCTTTTCCGAGTGTATGGTCAGTTTCCTTTTCCTTTGCATGTCTTGCAATTTTTGGATGACTGGATATTTGAGATAACATAGCAACTCTGCATATTCATCCCCTCCCGGCCCTCCTGCTTGTTTAGTTACTTGACTGGACTGCTTAAGTCTACAGATGTTCCTCCTCAGAAAGTAATATGGGCACATTTAGTCACCCTGATCCCTCCCTCTGGCTCCAAAGATAGTGATTTTGATAGGGCTCTTTTCCTCATCTACTAGGAAAGGTTCTTGTTGGTCCGCTTCTGTTATCATACCCAGCTATTAGCACCCACTAATTTGCTAGCTAACTGCTCTACTGTTTTTGACAATGCTCTGGGGCATAAGCTCAATGAAATTAAATCCAATTAAGTTCAAGTCCCTGTATAGTATCTTTGAAGCTTGTTCTAATCCTAGGACTCTTATCAGCTGCCTCTCATTCCTGTTGAACTTGTGGGTCTTCCATTTTGCTTGTTGTCAGTCTGCTCTTAATCACCCCCTCCCCACATCCATAGTATTTGGCAGCACCCTTACACCCATTATGCTCTGAAGTCCGTCCGTCCCTTTAGGGAGTGCTGTGGAGTTGATTTTATGGCCTGCTATTTCCACTGGACAGAACCTGTGCTGCTGCTCCAGAGATAGGGATGGCGATAGTAGCCTGTTTTTCTAGAGTGATTGATATCCATGGTCTAGAAGGAGGCAGTGAGTGATAGGCCCTGGTCTTCTCCACTTGCCTCTCCTTGACCCTAGGAGTAAACTGGGGTAGGAGCAATTGAGGCCTGGTATTTTTAGTCTGCTATTCCTGGGCTAGAGTTTCCTTGCTACCAGTGGGAAGTGGGTGGAATAAGGAGTTCCAGACCTCTTGGCTACTCTTGCTTGGAAAAAAACTTCTGCAACATGAAGCTTGAGAAAATGAGACATGCCAATAGTTTATACATCCAGGGAGAAACTGTAGCCCAAGATTGGGAACTAGAGGATCAGGGCTCAGATGTCACAGAGACTCACTATTCTTACCAAGATTTAGTGAATTTCCATGAATAAGTATTTCTATTTGATGTATGCTCTTATGACAATTTCCAGAGATTTTTAAAAAAATAATAATTTCTACTAGTATGATTGCTTTATTGAGGAGAGTCAGTGGAGTTCCTTATGATGCCATTCCAAAAGCATTTCCTGACTTCTTTTTAATTAATGTCTTAAAATACAAGCAATCAGGGTCCTTTAAGTAAGGTAATATGTTCATTTCACAACCTGAAATTGCTTTCTGCTGCCATCAGTTGATTCAACATCAACATGCAGCATCCAGAATACATTAAGTAGTTCTTTAATAGTTATTTAAATATATTCCAGAAGTGAATAGTGTTTATAATTCACTTATAAGTGCAGTGTGCCACATCAGTAAATGTTACTTGGCTTGTTGTATAGATAATGCTGATTAAGAATTAGTCCTAGAATACTTGTGAATTTCTATTTCTAACTCTGTAGATTAAAAACACAATTGTAAATGGTATAAAGTTGCAAGAATCATATTGTGATAAAATCCATCTCAAAATAGAGAATCCAGATTCTTCCCAGATAATCTAAGAACTGAGTTTTCCTCAACTTAAACATAATGGCACACAAAAAACAGCAAAGATGTCTTTCATTGTGATGCAACTGAATAAAACTCCAGAATGAGTAACAGAGACCAATGTATTGAAATCAACAGAATTTAGAAAACACATTTAAATCCGAAGCAGAAATAAAAAGACGATTTATAAAGAGCTATAATTGAGCTCTAATCATCATCAGAGTCTGAATCATATTTCTTTCCTCGGATAGTTTTCTTTTCCAGTTTTGTGAAGTTTGTTCCAAATTTCTTTTGGTTCTGAAATGGTGGCTCCATTAAATTTCCACTTAAGAAAAAAAGAAAATAAAACATTTTAATATTTATGATTTAGTACCAGTATACTAACCTACACACAAATCTATCTTTGCTTCCTCCCTATAACACAAGAGTAAGATTGCTTTAAAATGCTAGTGCCAGGGAAGAGGTATAATACTCATAATGATGGTTCATAGCTTTAAATCTTATTTTGGAATACTAAATGTTTTAGATTTAATCTTCCATTTTATCATTCATTACTGATTTAACATTTTAGAGGCTGTGCCAATAGCTTTTTTTTTTTTTCTGAGTTGGGATCTCACTCTTTCTTCCAGGCTAGAGTGCAGTGGCATGATCATGGCTCACTGCAGACTCCAACTTATTGGCTTAAGCAATCCTCCCTCCTCAGCCTCCCAAGTAATGGGTCTACAGGTACATGTTACCATGCCTGGCTAATTATTTTATTTTCTGTAGACACAAGATCTTGCTGTTGCCTACACTGATCTCAAACTCCAGGCCTCAAGCAATCCTCCCACCTCAGTCATGCAAAGTGTTGGGATTACAGGCATGAGCCTGGTCTCAATAGAATTTCTGATGGAAAGTACAGAAGGAAAAACATATTGGTTTATTGGTTCTGGAAATGCTGAACCTGCATTAAATATTCTTTTTATTTTTTGCATTTTTTTTAGTCGGAGTTTCACTCTGGCACCCAGGCTGGAGTGCAGTGGAATTATTATGGCTACCACAGCCTCAACTTGATGGGTTTAGGTGATCCTTCTGTTTCAGCCTTTCAAGTAGCTGGGACTACAGGCACACATCACCATACCCAGCTAATTTTTTTTTTGGTTTATTGTAGAGACGATGTCTTGCCACATTGCCCAGGCTAGTCTCAAATCCTGGGTTCAGACAATCCTCTTGCCTCAGCCTCCCAAAGTGCTGGGATTACAGGTGTGAGCCACCACACCCAGCTGATTTTTTTTTTTATGATGATGATGACACAGCCAATGCTGCTTTATTTTTAATAGCCTGTCATAACTGATTAGATCCTGTTGAACATTTAACATTTCTCAGTGTTTAGGTCTCTACAGACATCAGTAAAACTCATGGAATTCATTATTACTAACCTGAAATTGATATGAAACTCTTTTCAATGATGCTCTAAAAATAAATGAAATGTGACAATTTCTTGTTCCAAAATAACCTGGTAAGTGTTCCTACCATTCAGATACTGGTTTTGAAACATCGAGTTATTGCTATTGAAAGGAAACATGACTCTTTGGAGAAACAGTTGATTCCAGGAAAGGTACAATGTGAGCCCCGCTAAAACATCTTGTTTGTGTCAAAAATAAAGGGCTCAAGGAATTACAGTGCCATGTCAAAAGAACAGAGGCCAGTGTGTGGAAGGGGCTTTCATACGGCAATCTGAGCTTCAAGGTAAATGATAGCAGTAACAGCATGCAACTGACTGAATAAAGGAATTCAAAGCCCATACTAATATAACCAAATGAAAAAGTAAATACATGTGGGAAATGGAAAAGTTCTTCATTAAATCACCATTTGGCCTGATAGAGAACTTGTTAACCTTGTGCTCAGTTATCACCAGAAATGAGACAAACCATCACGTGCCTCCTGATACAATGCCACTTCCATAATATGCCTGTCAAAATGTATAATCTGAATCTAATCTTGAGGAAACATTTGACAGACCCAAACGAGGAGATGTCATACAAAATAACTAGCTTGTACTCTTCAAACATGTCAAAGTCTTGAAAAATAAAGAGTAACAAACTGTTGTATGTTAATGGAAAATAAAGACATAACTAAATGTGACAAAATCTTCTGGTATGGAGGACATTATTGGGACAATGGTAAAATTTAACAAGAGCTGTACATTACACAATAATTCCTGTTTGAATAATTGTACTGTGGCTATCAAAGAAAATGTCCTTGTTCTTAGGAAATACATATGGAAGCATTTAGGAGTAAAGGTACACCATACTTACAAATTCTACTCAAATGGCTCTGGAAAAAAAAGTTACAGTATATGGAAAGCGAATGATAGATATGTTTAATTAGGAAATATGGACAAAGGGTAAATGAGAATTCTTTGTGCTAGTCTGCAACTTGTTTAAAGTTTGAAATCATTCTGAAATATAAAATTTTATTTAGTAAATATTAATATTTTAGCTGGCTGGGCATAGTGACCCATGTCTATAATTCCAGCACTTTGGGAGGCTGAGGCGAGAGGATTGCTTGAGCTCAGGGATTTAAGATCAGCTTAGGCAATATAGTGAGATCTCATCTCTACAAAAATTTAAAAAATTAGTTGGGTGCAGTGGCATGTGCCTGTAGTCCTAGCTACTTGGGAGGCTGAGGCAGGAGGACCACTTGAGCCCAGGAATTCAAGGCTGTAGTGAGCTGTGATCATGCCACTACACTCCAGCCTCTAGATGACAGAGTGAGACCACAACTAAAAAAAAAAAAAAAAATTAGTATTTTTAAGTTAACATTAAAAAATGAAGCCAATTTCTACAACATAGAAATGATTTAGTCATGTCTAGGAGAGTCAGAGAAAAGAGGGGTGGGGAAGTAGGGTAGAGGAAAAAAGGAAAGAATTTACTAACTGACTGAAAGGCATTGTGGCTCTGGAATGATAATTGCACAATTTTATCTATTTTTGCAAATCAAGAACAAGCAAAAAAGACAAGATGGCTCTGTTTTGTGGAATTAGATAAGCTATTTGTCTAAAAAAGTGGACAAAAAGATGAATGACAAATGGAAGTTCAATTTTAGATTGTATTCAAACTAAAACTTTTTCATATTAAGCAACATAAGCTAAGTATAGAGACCTTTTTGTATTTATCAGATTCTACAAGTGAAACAGGAATATCTACATTAAAATTTTAATGTCTTAAAATATAACCCTCTTTATAGTAGTATATTTTTCTAATTTTTACTCATTAAAGAGAATCAGTAGCAGCAATTTGAATAATCTGGCTTAAACTGGGGAACAGTTCACTCCGGAATGCAGTTTTAAGTTTCCAGATTAATACAGAATTAGTTTCAATAGCATCTGTTAAGTTGAAAACTTTTATAGTCAAGAGTACTCCAGGACTCAGCTCTATTTCTAAATCTGATTTTGTGGTAAAATCATGCTAATAATATACACTTTAAGAAATATGCTTTTCCTGCCGGGCTCGGTGGCTCAGCCTGTAATCCCACGCTTTGGGAGGTTGAGGTGAGTGGATTGCCTGAGCCCACGGGTTCGAGAAATCAAAAAAATGAGCCAGGTGTGGTAGTGCGCGCCTGTAATTCCAGCTACTTGGAAGGCTAAGGTGGAAGGATTGCCGGAACCCAGCAGGTCGAGGCTGCAGTGGCCGCTCCCAGCCACTGCACTCCAGTCTGGGTGATAGAGTGAGACTCCAACTCAAAAAAAAAAAAGAAAAGAAATATGCTTTTCCTTTTAGAACTGTCTACATCTCAGACAAAAGGCCTTCACATAATATAAAAATCCCCTCTAAAAGTATCAACTAGATACACATTAAAATAAATCTATTATTTTGCTAAAAGTTACCTGTAATTAAGAATATCAGAACAACCGAGCCTCCACTCCAAAGTTTCTGTGGTAAAGTCATCTGTATTTCCTAGGTCAGTGAATCCAACAACATAATCTTGTGTTTTCCCATCTTTTACCAGTGCTAGTGTGGGGATAACTTTGATATGCAGTCTCTCACAAAGGAAAGGTGCTTTTTCCACATTCAGCTTCAAAAATTTGGTTTCAAGGTGTTTCTTGGACAAGATCACCAGATGTCTGTCGAGTATTTTACACCTGCAAGTTACAACACATCGAAAATGAAAAGCTAAAATCACAGACTTCTTTCTTAATGTAAGTATCATTAACGTACATCTAATTTTACAGTTTTACTGTTTACGTTTCATAATCTGGCAGCCAAACTATGCTTGTGTCAGATGACCTCATTTCCAGATCAGAGGTTAGCTGCTTATTATAAGAGGTAGAAAAACAATCTAGCATAATAAGTCAGATATGCCTCAATAATATTATTTTTCAAAATATTAAACATATGCTTTAAGACTTAAGTCATAAAGTGGCTGTCATGTATTTCACACAAGAAGCTTGAAGAGGAACAAATCTGAACTTGAAGAGCTCAGAAAAGACTTTTAAGAATTTTATACCCATGCAATGATCATTTGTATACCGAACCCTGAATTGTACCCATCTTTAAAATAAAAAAATTTAAAAAAAGAATTATATATGCAGACATGGTGCCATATTTGGAAGTCACAAAGAAAGACTGAATAGTGTCACAGAACAGACTCTACTCCTAAGTGTACAACTCTGTCACTGAAAGCACATTAAGTTTAAGGGTTACTAATAATATTTAAGTAACTATGGCCATTATGTTTCTAAAGTAATGAAAAATATTGAATGCCATGCTGTATTATAGGAAAAAAAAACTACTATTAGTAACTTTTATTAAGCCATCATCTACTAGGAAAATGGAAGTAACATTTTCTTTGAATTAAAATCTATTTTAAACTGGTCGATCCTATAGTGTTTCTGAAACTGAATGCTGTAGCAATCTTTTAGATCAGTGGTTCTAAACCCCAGGTGTTCATTACAATCAACTTTTAAAATATGCAGATGAATCAATATTCTCTGGCAGGAGTTAGGAAACAGGTAATTCTTATGACCAATACAGTTTCAGAACTGTTTAGATGACTAACACAAAATGCTTCACGATTATTTTTACTAGTAAGTTTTTATGTACTTAATGTAGTTTTTCCTGAATTAGGTTTGGATCCGACATACGTTTCCTATAACTTTGATGTTTATCATTTTCCCCTGGACATATCTTTCCATGTATCACCCACGTAGTTTGGTCATGAGATTGCAGTGAAAAATGTCGAGAGAACAAATTAATAAATGGCTTTAAAGTGAAGTTCAAAACAAATGATAGATGAACCTTTACATGAGAAATGTGTTTCTGAAAATTTGTTCATACATCAACTCCACACTGCAGCAAGGAGACTATTTTAAGTAAGCCTATGATTGTACCACTTGTCAATTAATCTGTTTTTAAAAATCCAAAAGCAACAGTCTTGGTACAGTTAAATAGTAGCAGGCTTAATATGTGGGTTGTCTCTTTTGTCATTAGCAGCTGAGTAATATCAGGTAGGTGACTTAATTTCTACAAGCCTTGTTTTCTCACATGGAACACAGGAGTTAGAATACCTGCCTCTAAAGATTATTGTGAATATACACAAAAGTATCTAGACTACCATGTGCAAGGAACTTTGCTAGATATATAAACATCAACTGAATGATGGGAATTTGATTTTTCAGTTCTATTTGAAGGCAAGTGTTCCTGGTGCTGCACTGTTTACACATCCAACAAATATAATTACTGACCACCTACCATGTGTCAGGCATTACTGCTTTAGGTCTATGAACCTGGAGCACAATGGGACAAAATGAAACAAGTGAACAAATGATATCCCACATATTGATATACCACTATATCACCTCATCACATATGTCAGAGTTTGGCAACTTGAGGAATCATGTGTCACAGGGCAGAAGTTTCCTTGACCCTCTTCTATCTTGCCAATTCCTTCTCCCCTTGTTCCTTACAGGGGATTTCACCATCTCAAAATTGAATCCTAGGCAATCAGTTTCTGAAAGGTGTTAACTCGTGATGAAGCTGTTGGGTTGTGAGGCTAACACAAGGGGCAGGCAGGCTACAGAAATGAGAGGGGAGGGAAGGACCGAGAGCAGTGACAGAGACTCTATATTACAGTGCCACAGTGTTTCTCTAAGGGAGGCCTCTAATCCTGGCACTCTGGGAGGCGGAGGCGAGTGGACTACCTGAACCTGTGGGTTCTACATCAGCCCGGGCAACTTGGCAAGACCTCATCTCTACAATAAATCAAAAATTAGCCAGGTGTGGTAGTGTGCCCCTGTAGTTTTGGCTACTTGGAAGGCTGAGGCAAAGGATAGCGGGAGCCTAGCAGGTCGATGCTGCGGTGGCTGTGAGCGTGTCACTGCACTCCAGCCTGGGTGACAGGAAAAAAATACATTAAATTTTTTTTTTGTGGGGGATGGAAGGCTAATAGCTCTGATTTAAGGTATAACCTATTTTGGGCATTTTCATTTTATAAAGGATCTTTCTTCTTAGAGAAATGTTAGTATAGTTTTTCCTGAATTAGGTTTGGGTCTAACATACGTTTCCTATAACTTTGATGTTTATCATTCTGGGTGGGGTAGAGTGGGGGGGTTGTCTAAGAAAAATCACTTTTCCTTTCAGCCAAGACGCAGTCCCAACTACGTTTCTGGGACCTGCCCAAGTCATTGATTCCCTATCAGAGGTGCTAGCTAAGGAGTGACTGAAAGAACACTCACTTTGAAAGGCTGTTAACCCCCTGTTCCTAGTATCATGCCTATATCATAATAGCAGGGGAAAAAGAGCAGAAATAATTGTTGTTTCACTGCTAAGAATTTTAAGTGCACGTTTCTAAGATGTTTTTAGAGTTAGCTAATGAAAATATAAATCAGAAAATACAAATCCCATATATATGAGGATATTATTGATCTTAAACAATATTCATTTTACTTTTGCAAGTCACTGGTCTTTAAGTTAATCTTTTTTTTTTTTGAGTGGGAATGGGAGTCACTCTGTCGCTCAGGCTGGAGTGCAGTGGCGTGATCACAGCTCACTGCAGCGTTGACTTCCTGGGCTTAGATAATCCTTCCATCTCAGTCTCCTAAGTAGCTGTGACTACAGGTACACTCAAGCACATTCAGCTAATTTTTAAAATTTTTTGTAGAGATGAGGCCTCATTATGTTGCCTAGGCTGGTCTTGAACTTGGATAATAGGCATGAACCACCATGCCTGGCCTTTAAATTAATCTTGAAAAGAACAATTCCTGGTGGTTTCTCTTGCCCATGCCAGTTCTGGCATCTCCTTTTCTTTCCTCTCTTTCTCTAATAAACTTTGTTTTGAAACTTAAAAATAAATAAATAATATAATAATTCCTTAACTTTAACATACCAGAATGTTAAAAAACATAGTATAATAAAATCACTTAGAATGTTTTTTTCTTTTGGTTTTATTACTTTCTCTGATAAACCAGTATATGTGTATCTAAACATCTCATTATTTATTTATTTATTTATTTTTAAGTAGGATGGAAATAAAATTACCTGAATGTGGAGTCTCTGTAGAAATGGCAAACCACTTTTTTACTCTCTTTGACTTCTTGAAAAAAGTCTCTTTCACTAGGGATTTCTCTGTATTCCCCATGTCCTTTAGAAAGCCATTCCTAATTTGGAGAGAAGCAAAATATTACACATGTGAAATATCTCTTTTAGTACTGCTTGACATTTTAAGTGCCCAAATCACCATGGTATTTTGTAATGAAGTCAATTTTAGCTTGTAGAGAAAATTAATTCCTTTTAGCAGTCTACATTCCCATTTCTAGTGTCAATGCAAAACTTGTTATGGGCAGTGAATGTCTCAGGCTTAAGATAATTAACTGTCTTGGTAACTGAAAACATTTGTTTTCTCAGAACTTCAAAAATAAAAGTCTAAACTTGAGAAATTTAGAATATAAATATCCTTTTAGCTCTTATCTCTATCCATGCACTCTTCAACTACCAAAACCAGAAGCACATGATCCAAGTTACTACAGGCTTTTAAAAATAATGCTTATCAGGCTGGGCAACGAAGCTCATACCTATAATCCCAGCACTTTGGGAGGCTGAGGCAGGAGGACTGCTTGAGCCAAGGAGCTTGAGACCAGCCTAGGCAACACAGTAAGATCTCATCTCGACAAAAAGTAAAAAAATTAGCCAGGCGTGGTGGTGCACTTCTGGAGTCCCACCTACTCAGGAGGTTGAGGCAGAAGAATTGCCTGAGCCCAGGAAGTCGAGGTTGTAATGAACTGTATCGTGCCACCGCACTCTCTGAATGACAGAGTGAGACCACAACTCAAAAAAAAAAAAAAAGAAATGCTCATGAGATAAAGCCAATCAGTCTTGGGGAGAGATGGAGGTTATTGTAACTCTGGAGGTCGAGAACTTTTAATGACTACCTAAGAGAGGGATGTACCTCTTCAACACTAGCCACCAATGGGCAGTGTCCTCAGAAGCAAATGTAGTCTATTCACATGGTGTCCACTCAATGAAGATCCCAAACCTAATCCAGCTTCCCAAATAATACAGGAACCCCTTACCAACAAAGCCTGACAGACCTTTCAGCTCTGGAACCTTTCCTGTGTCAGTTAAGCTTATCACCTTAACTGGCAGCTCATTTTCTTTCTTTTTTTTTTTTTTGAGTTGGAGTCTCTGTCACCCAGACTGGAGTGCAATGGCCGCTCCCGGCCACCGCAGCCTCGACCTGCTGGGCTCCGGCGATCCTTCCGCCTCAGCCTTCCGAGTAGCTGGAATTACAGGCATGCAATACCACGCCCGGCTGATTTTTTGATTTATCGTAGAGATGAGGTCTCGCTGCCCAGGCGGGTCAGGAACCCGTGGGCTCAGGCAATCCACTCACCTCAGCCTCCCAAAGGCGCGGGATTACAGGCTGAGCCACCGAGCCCGGCTTCATTTTCTTTTTTAGGCAGCAGGTTTTAATAAAAAGGAGCACGGGGTTTGCAGGCAGAAGGCAAAGGTTTGAATACATGTTCTACCACTTACTCAGCTACAAATTCTAATAACCTTTCTGAGCCTCAACTTCCTCATCTGTAAAGTGAAGTCGGTAAAGTAACTATCTAATTGGGTTGTTGTGAAAATGAAAATGAGACAGCTACACGAAAATGCCTAAGACAGGGTCTGGCAGGCGCTTAAAAAGCAGCTGTAACAGTACTATCTAGTTTTTAGAAAGGTCCTCTCACACTGAACTGCAGTGTATCCATAACTTTGGCTGTGGATCCCAGCTTAGACTAAGATTAGAGATAACAGTTTTAATCTCTTTCACATGCCAGTCCTTCAAATATCACATATTCCCCTCTCCACCCTAAACAATTCTAGTTCCTTTTAACTGCTTCTCATATGAAAAGATTTCTAGACTTCGTACTTCCCAGATGTCACCTGAATACACTCTAATCACCCATGTCTTTGAAAAATGTGGCAGAGGTCTGAATACAGTTCTCCAGAAGTGGTCCAATCAGAGGGCCAGGATGCCATCACCCTTCCTCCTCTGGTCTTCAGTTAACATGGCCCAGATGGTATTAACAGTTTAGGTATCCAGTACACATCAGCTTACATCGAGCTGACACTCACAGGAGGACCTGACATTTTCTTATGTGAAATTTCTATATATAGTTTAAACTCTCAAGTACAACTTCTCAATGACACATGACAGTTCATAACTGCTTTCTTGACTCACCAATGATACGAACCCTTAACACAATCTATTTTTTTTTTTAAAGCTGCTATTTCTTTTCATTATTTATTCTCATATGTTCAGCCAAGAGGTAGAAGACCTGAACCTGTCCAGGTTTCTTTGAGGGAAGGTGTGTCAACCCTGAACCTCCACCAATACCCACACCTCTTCCAAGACACTCAGCATACCCATGTACTCTCAGCACAACTTCATTCAGACAGGTATCTGCTGATTGGAATCAAGCAGGATGGGCTTGAGGCATGGCAGTTGGGAGCACCTGGCTCTCACTCAGTGCCGCCCCCAAGCCTCTCCTGGGCTCTTCCTTCTTCTTACCTTGTCCCTTTGCTCCCTCCCTAAGTACTATAGCTCCAGCTACTCTAACAGTAGGAGGCTGCTTGGCTGAATGAGGAATGCAGATTAACACAGGTCTATTAAGTGCTGAGTAAATGTCACTGCATACACTGATTTTTCCCAATACCCACATGGATCTGAAAATAAAAATTACTGTATAATCTATACTCCTCTTTCAAAAAAGAATTATCTACACAAACCACTAAGGTTTTTCTTGCCTACCTCCACAGAAAATATTTTATTGAAAAGCCCATTAAAATGCAAAACAAGTTCTAAAATAAGACCCTCTGAGTTACTCTATGACAAATCCAATTTACTTCAATTTTTCTGAGGCAGGATTTTACTCTGTTGCCAGGCTGGAATGTAGTGGCACAATCATGGCTCACTGCAGCCTCCAACTCTTGGTCTCAGGCAAACCTCTTGCGTCAGTTTCCTGGGCAGCTGGGACTACAGGTACATGCTACCACACCCAGCTAATTTTTTGTAGAGATTGGGTCTCGCTATGTTGCCCAGGCTGGTTTTGAACTCAAGTGATCCTTCCGCCTCTGCCTCCCAAAGTGTTAGGATTATAGGTGTGAACCACCATGCCAGGACAAATTCACTTTAAATTGATTCATAAATTAATAAAAGGAAAGGGCCTAAAGCCAGCCTACCTGACTCACTTGGTTTTTAATTATAAATATTCAGACTATTGCTTTGAACTGCCAAAAACTTCCTTTAAAACATTATTTAATGTATGTTCCTCATAGGAACTCAGGTGGATTCATAGTCTTTCTATAAAAATATCCTAGTTATGAATTATTTTAGTTGCTCATTTGCAATTAGTAGTGTATTTATAACTATAATCATGAAATATGAATTTCTGGCAGAACCTAAATGCATGTTATCTTAAGTCCTTAAATTCTAATAACCTGTCCTCTGCTTACTAATTACTAGCCTTATATTAAGAAGAGCAACCTATTTTCTAAAATAGGGTAAAGGTAAAAGCCATATAATATACTCTATTTTTAGAAAGCTCAAAATATAAAATTTGAACTCACTCATAAAAGATGTTTTCCTTTTTGTAGTAACTCTTCTAAGCAGTGAGAATAAAAACATATAAAAGAGATGCCACAGCGGCACAAACAAAACTCCTTGTTGCTTCAGAAAAGTTAAAGTTTACGTTTTAGTCTCAGACAAGTGAAAACAAACCAGAGTTGGTAATAATGTATTTTCATGTAGCTTAACCCAGGGGAGATTTTTTTTTTAAAATCCAAGTTCAGTTAACAGAATTTAACCCACTGATTTCAATCAGAATCTACTCTACACTCACACTCTAAGAGACCATTAAGGATAGAGCTGTGGCCACCTTTCTTTGTGACCCAGCATGCACTCTTTGAATAATATGTCACATAATTAAATGTTACATTGGAAATGCCTGAAATAATTTATTCAATATAAATGGATATTTTATATTTTATCTCAGGTGTCCTATCTCATTTGCTTTGAAAACAGCTAAATTACAGTAGGCTTTAATCCCACCTAAAATAGAAACCAATGACTCCCTAGTTCTCCCTCAACCAAACAAATCTAAGTTCAGAAAACAATCCCAGGCAGATTTTTCTTTTACTTGACTGTAGATTAAAATACAGATTGGGCTAATATTGAATGTGTCTTTAAAACACATTTTTTTCTGGGCAAGTTTTTAACAGTGATACATATTCTAAATTTAAAAAATCCTAAAAATGAGGAACAAGATGTAACTACTACAGCACACATATATATAAGTTGTTAGGAGCATACTGTTATAGCAATTTCAGAAAGCAGGGCAGAGAGGTTACTTGTTTCTGCTGTTGAGCTTTCCTTAGTGCCTCAAGTCTCTTTTCTTTGAGGCGTTCCAATTCATCTTCATCCATCTTATCCAGTTTTTGAATTTCAGAATCCAAATGTTCTTCCACTAGTTTTGTAGTCTGAAGCAACTGATTCTCCAGGACTTTTGAAAACATGTCAACAGACGCATCAGCTTCCATTCTTCTAAATGGTACAACTCAGCCTTGGTGCTGGGGAGAAGGTTTTACAAAATAAAACAAAATAAAATAATCAAATAATAAACTTTTCTCTTCCATTTTCAAAAATTCCAGCCAGTATATAATGTGTACTCCACAGAGTATTCTGCCAACATCCAAGCACATGATATTGCACTTAAGAATTTTTATTTAATGTTTTAAAATTTAATTTTCAATAGGTTCTAGTCACACCACTTCAAAACTACTTAAAGCAATTTTTGGGTGCTTCTAACTTTGTGTTTTACTGCACTAAAGGAAAGACAAGTCTTTAAGACCACCACTAGGCCAGGCTGGGTGGCTCAGCCTGTAATCCCAGCACTTTGGGAGGCCAAGGCGAGTGGACTGCCTGAGCCCGCAGGTTCGAGACCCGCCTGAGCAACTTGGCGAGACCTCGTCTCTACAACAAATCAAAAAATCAGCCGGGTGTGGTAGCGCATGCCTGTAATTTCGGCTACTTGGAAGGCTGAGGCGGAAGGATCGCTGGAGCCCAGCAGGTCGAGGCTGCAGTGGCCGGAAGCAGCCACTGCACTCCCGTCTGGGCCACAGAGTGAGACTCCAACTCAAAAAAAAAAACAAAAAAAAAACCAGCCGGGCATGGTAGCACGCGCCTGTCATTCCAGCTACCTAGAAGGCTGAGGCGGAAGGATTGCTGGAGCCCAGCGGGTTGAGGCTGCGGTGGTTGGGAACGTGCTACTGCACTCCAGTCTGGGCGACAGAGTGAAATTCCAACTCAAAAAAAAAGAAAGACCACCACCAGACCACAGAGAAACGAGTTGTGCAGTTATACCTAGTGACATATACTGACAGCCAGTGTTCTTTACCAAAAGAAAAGGGAAACAAAGCAGAAACAACTGCAAACGTAAGGTATGACAACTGAGGTAACACACACATACATAGATATTAAACTTAAACACAGAGTTGAGCAAAACACAAATTTTTCATGGTTACTGCCCAAATGAGTTTCATTTAACTCCTAGAACACCTCATTAAAATTTATGTAAAGAACCGTGCCTGGTGCTCTTTAAGCATTAACATTCATTCCTGTTTTCCTATATCTAACAAAAATTCCAGTAAGTGTCAAAACATGATATTGGTTCTTAACTTTGATGTAAAACAGTATTAACACTCCAAAGATTATATTTAAAAACTTTCCGCATCATCACTCCTCTGTGTAATATATGAGTTTAAAAACAGAACTAATTCAGATTAAACATTCAGATTAGATTTCAACTGCATTCATACATGACTTAATGATGGGGACACATTTTGAGAAATGTTTCTTTATGTAATTTTGTATCGTGTGAACATCACAGAGTGTACTTGTACAAACCAAGATGGAACAGCCTACTATATACACCTAGGATCATAGGTTACAAACCTGTACGGCATATGACTGTACTGAATGGTACAGGCAACTATAACAGAATGGTAAGGATTCGTGTATCTAAACATAAAAAAGGTACAGTAAAAATACAGTATTATAATCTCACAAGACTGAAATGTTCTCACGTGTCACATAACTGCATATATTGTAAAAGTACCAGCCTGGGCAACACGGAGACCTCATCGCTACAAAAAAATAAAAAGGAATTAGCCGGGCATGGTGGTGCATGCCTGTAGTCCCAGCCACTTTGGTGGCTGAGGAGGGAGAATTGTTTGAGTCCAGGAGATCTGGGCTGCAGTGAGCCTTGAGAATGCCACTGCCGCACTACAGCCTGGGCAACCGACTTCGACTCAGAAAAAAAGAATAAAATATTTTGTACCAGCAACAATCAGAAGGCAATTTTATGTGTATCCCTGAGTTATTACCACAGAAATATGATTTATAATTTGTCTGTCAAAGCAGGAGGCTGTTTCATCTCAATATACTATGATACTTGTAAATTCTGTCGAGCATCTTACAAATATGAATAAGCTGTAAACTCATTCACTCAGCTTCTGACACAGATCCTGGCCCACACAGACCCTCTATACGTATTGGACTGAAGAGAAATTCTTGCGAACTTCAACTCTGATTCCTTTTTCTCTACAAGAAAAGCAGTTGAAAAGCATATGTGATTTCATTCTTTAATCCTCAGTGCTTAGAACAGCAGGTATTCAATAAATATTTATTTAGTGTTGAATGAACAGGTGCCTGGCTTCTGTCGAAATTACTATACTGTTAATTTCAAAAGTATTCAACTGGAAAAAACCAAATTGTAAGCTTTCATAAATGCTATAAAATGGAAAAGAGGTTGTATTTCTTTCATGCATATTTTTTATTTTAAAGATGTGTAGTACAATTCAGGATTAGGCACACAAGTGGGACCTCGTACAGGTAAAGTTTGGACCTCGCTTTGGTCCCCAGGGGCTGTGTTTCAAATATGGGAAAATATTTCCACACTCCCTACCCCTCAAGAAAAAAGTCGGGAAGACTGTGACCCTGAGGCGGGGGCCAGATGAAGAACCTGTCCTTCCTCGGGGCACAGCGGATGCTTCTCCCTGGAGTTTTATAGAAAGAGCCCAGAATCGAATTCCGGGAACAGAAGAGGCTAAGCAGAGCAGTCCTGGGTGCAGAGGTGGTGGTCACTGCACCGAGAAAGGGGTAAGGAGACAGTGCAGCGGCCCCGGGCAACTTTTCATTGTTTAAACCACTGCCTTCGATTCTCTTTACACCTCAGCTGGAAGGGTGGGAAGGGACACCGCATGTCCTCGAATTCCCTCATCATTTCCTTGGTCACCTTCCTTGCGCCAGCCAAAACGACCAGGGGGCTTTGTGCTTAGCTGCAACTCAGGTACCGTTCCAATACTGGGCCCGCCCCTCCCAGAGCCCCGGGGACAGATGAGGGCAGAGAACCCGCAAGCCCCAACTTCAACGCCTTCTGGGGCGCATGCGCCGGAGCCTCCGCCGCGGCCCAGACACCGGCGTCGCGGCCGCGCCCCTCCCCCGCCCCGGCCGGATGCGGAGCGGCAGCGAGTCCATCAGCACTAGGACGCGGCGGCCGGATCTCTCACACCACCCTCTGCCTCACCTGAGCTATTAGTGATGCTGAGAGGTCAGGGAGCAGAGGCTCCAAAACAGCGGTCCACTCCGGCTTCCGCCTCGCAGTAGCTACCGGTGGCTGCAAGCTGGGTGTCACTTCCGCCTCCTCATTGGCTGCGGAACTCACGCGATATCACCTTCGACGCCCGAGGAAGGGGCGGGCGCTTCTGTGCGTGCGCCTCTACCCTGGCAGCCCCGGAACCTGAGGTTTCCGATCCCTTGCCCACCCCGGGTAGGCTACTCGGCTGGAAAGGCAGCAAAGCATGCTGGGAGTTGTAGTTTCTTAGTGCGCAGGCTGGCGTGGTCCGACTTTTGGAGGCACAGTGCCTCAGTATTCAGAACGTTGCATTAGAGATGAGATAGCTGCAATCTTGCTCAGGAGTGACACTCGAACTTCCTTTCCATTATCTTACTGTTGACTGAACGTTTTTCTTTTCCCCAAAGTTGATGCATGACTTACACAGCTCAAGTAACTTTTGCATCTTTAAACTCATATCACTGCCCACTTCCAGATACAGAACATTTTCATCACCCCTGCCTAAACATAGAAGTTTTCAGAACTGCTCTCAGTTTGAACGTAAGGATTAAGAACTATATTAGGGAACAGATGGGTATGTCTCTGTATATTTTCTTTAGGGACTTGTACGTACGTCATAATCCATGGGCGTTACCGAGAGGTCCCAATCTTGTCCTGGATTTCTCTCCCTAGCGAACCCCAGAGGGCTCACGGTGGGTACGTTGTGGGTCTTCACTAGGCTTCGTGCGGCTGAAGAATGCAGAGGTATACAGGAAGCCGGAAGTCGGCTCCTGGACTGAAGCCTGCGTTCGCCCGTGGGGACGTGGCTGACGCGGTGCACTGACAGCTTCATTGTCCACTTCGGGGTTCCAGAACCTGGAAAGCGCGCGGGCGTCGGCGCGTGGAGGACGCTGGCGGGCAGGGGGCGCTCGGACTCCTGCCTGGCCGGCGGGGGCCCCCGAAGACGCTCTACCCGAAGCGCCGCTCTCGATGAGCCGCGCCCTGCGTCCCCACGCCGAGGCGGCGGGGCGACGCGCGTGCGCACTGGGCGCTCACACCATATGTGCCCTGTCCCAGCGCGCGGGTCTGTGGAGAGCCGGGGGCGAGC